CAGCTCTCCTCATAAAACCGAACATGCTGTTCACTTTTCAAAGTCGCTCCCTCACCATTCCTCCATGTGGATGCAGAGAGGAGCCTAAGAGCTGCTTGTGAATTGCATTTCATATCATACAGGGACTGCACCAGATAAATAACCATAGACGGCTACACAGGATTTTGAATGATTAGTCAACAATCTATTAAACACGGTTCAGACTATGCCACAATTGTGGAAACATTAAACACAAGTGTGCTACAGTTTAGAGGATGATTTCTTTGTAAACACTGTTTTACAGGGATCTTTCACACAGCTACTGTCATAAACCTTTATTTATATTGACTTTGTGAGACACATAAAACAGCCCATCTATTTCAGCAGCAACCAGTTTGCAACAATAAGCTGAAACCAAAACCTTTTCTATATATACACAAACCCAACTCAGAAAAAGTTGGGACGGTAAAGCATTTACCACAGTGGAGGAGGCCTACAGAAGTGGGGACAAGATTCTGTACAGCCAGGCCAGGAACACACTGACAAGGGAGATCAGAGCAGCAAAGACGAGCTACTCTGAAAAGCGGAGGAACCAGTTTTCAGCCAACGACCCTTCGTTTGTGTGGAGAAGCCTGAAAAACATCACTGTCTACAGCTTCCTTTTGGCATAGTACAGTTTTAAGTGGCATTTATGGATGTAACTACATGCTGTAGTGCTTGACACAGGTGAGCCAAAGTAATCCTGATCCTATATTGCTTATAGAAGAGTGACGATTCTTGATGCAGTGTCATCTGAGGGATTGGAGGCTGTAGTGCTTGACACAGGTGAGCCAAAGTAATCCTGATCCTATATTGCTTATAGAAGAGTGACGATTCTTGATGCAGTGTCATCTGAGGGATTGGAGACCACGGTCATCCAGCTTAGGCTTGTGCCCTTTACACACTGAAATCCCTCCAGATTCCTTGAATCTTTTAATGATGTTCTGCACCGTAGAGGGTGACATATCCAAATATGCATATGTTGGCAAACTGGCGGCCCTCAGCCCATCTTTGCTCCTAAAGGGCTTGGCTTTTCCTGGATGCCAAATCATGATTGCAATCACCTGCGAATATTACCTGTTTAAAATAAAATCATTCCATTGTTTTGCCTCATTACTGGCCATGAAATGCAGCCATGCCAACTTTTTCTGATTTGGGTTTGCATCTTATTTCTGATGTGTGACACCCAAAAACAAAAAACATGTAATTGAGATCAACTCTATTGTCAGATCAGCTGCCAAGCTTATTACAAACAGGGACAGTCTTCTTCTTCTCCTCCCTGCTCTGAACTTCAGCACCTTGTTTTTCTGGAAGCTCTTATTGAACTGGAGCCTTTTACCTCCGGCGTGTCTATGCACATGTACTTACATGCATGACATCCTTTGTTTTCCATCTTGAAGCCACATTTTTCTGTGACATTTCCTTTTATTAAGGCACCAAACTTGTAGAAAAAAAAGGATAGACAGAGAGCAAACACCCTTTCTCTCCCTGCGGCTAAGGACTTCCTAATGTCATCCAGCCCAGAACAAGACCGTGCAAAGCCTCAGCAGCAGACTCTGGTATTAGTCCCACTTGACGCAGGTGTGGACACGTGTTCACTAGTTTCTGTGGTCTTTTGTACTACATATGAAAAATACATCCAGTGATATGAATGCTTCTAGGATGAAGTGTGCTGTTACTGCCACACTGCACTAATAAAAGAAGTGTCATCATCATCAATACGATCGTTTAGCATTTTTTAAATAAGGAAGTATAAATGTTTATTGAAGCTAGGAGGCATGCAAGCAAATCTGACCTCATCTCAGCAGACACAAATGTGTATTTTCAGTGGGAGTACAGATGGAAAAAGGCTTTAGCTGATCTGTAAATCACTCAGTAGAACAGCTGTTTGGTTTCTTCAGACAATTATGATCAGATCCGAGTCCTCTAATAAACTGCCTGAGTGAAGCCATATTGTCTGCTGAGATAGAAAGTCATTTTTACATACTGTAAGATCATTTTTTAGTTTTTTTTACCTTTATTCTTTTCCTGCTGTCCTTTGCACTCTCCTTTTTAGCTGCTTCCTCAAATCTGTCCTTCTTCCTGTACCCCTCCTCTTATTTCCTTCTTTCCTCATTTCTTTTGCTCTTCTACTGATCTGAACGCAAAACAATCTCTTCGAAATACAAGAGTTTTCACTTTCTTTGCCCAGAGTACTTTTACTTAAGATACTTAAACATAAATACACTCACTCAAGTAATGTTTTCTAATCCAGGACTTGACATTTTAGCTTCTCCAGTGCTCCTGCTATGAGTTGTAGAGCATCTATTCCCACCCGGCACACCACCCACTGTGTGACACACGAAGAAACTCAATCAGACCCAGAAGCTGGCAAACAGGGTTTTTTGCTGCACCCTCAAAACCAAACTTACACTTATTTTGAAAGAGCTGCACAAGGACCTGTGTAGGCAGCACAGCAGAATGTAGGACAGTAACTCTTTTAAAAAGCTTCTGGTATCAACTCCTGCTTTTACAAATCCACCGTGTTCTGCTGTTGATTAGGAACTTTGAGGAAAGTTTGAGAGAATAAGCCACAAAAAGGGAAACAGAGAGAGGCTGAAAGAACAGGGAAGGGAGAAGAGCGAGAATAGTGTGTGTCAGTTCAACAAAGAGCGAGAGGTGATTATTTTGTGTTAATCTAGTATCAGCCTTCCACGATTTGGAGGCGTTCCAGTGTATTACTCATCATCTGCAGCCAAGTCTATTAAATACAGATTAGATGGGGTGAGAAAAAGGACATGGTATTCCTGAACATTGTCATGAAACTCTCCTCCCAGGAATATTCTGTATTCCCACTGGTTGTCTGGGCTTTTCTCCGTGATGTCCCTGCTTTCCTCCCCTTCGGTATCCAGCTGTTCCCCATATTTCACCCTCTCTGTCAAGCTGATTTTAAATTGAGCTATATCTGTATTTCAAAAGAAGACACTGGAAATATAAAACTTTTAGGCTTTTGTATGTCAGGGGTTTTTTCCCTAGGAGTCATCACATTTTTTTTGATGACCTCGCTGATTGGAGCCGCGTGAGGCCTCATATTTCCTTATAATTACTTTCTACTTCCAGAAAGAAAATCATTAGATCCATAGGACTGTACACGAGTCCTGGTATAGTAAGTGCACATCGGGTGAGTGCTCCATTTAAAAGGTAGCGCCTCACTGGTTGCAAATCCAATAAGGTCTGTCTAGCCACACGCTATCGTTACATTTCAGAAAGCTGTTTACTGGAGAAATGGGCAATTAAAGAGTTTGTTTCTGAAATGTGACACCACTGTGAATGAGCTCTAAAGGAATTATTTCAAATTTTACTGCAAAAAGCGATGGAGCTTTTTCTAAATCAAAACACCAATAGATAGTAAAATAAAACGTATCAACAGTGAACAGCCAAAGAAAGATCAAGGAGTTCATTTGATGGGGGCATCCACATTTGCTTTATTTAACACTGATTTGTTTTTCTAATTATGTTGTGATGGGAAACATAATTGAAGTCTGGATTATGTTCACAGGTAATTATTTTGTAGAGTGTGAGAAGCTCTATGTTTTTGTACCACACACACAAGTTGTAGGAAGGCTGGTGAGTGTCCAAACCCCTGAACTGAAACCCTCCTGTGTTTAGGTTTAGGCAACGGGAGCAATTTGGTTAAAGTTAGGAAACAATCATGGTTTGAGGGAAATGTAAACACATTATGACCTGAAAAGGATCTTCCCCCAACCTTAACCAAGTGCTGTCAGTACTGAAGCCTAACCATAACATGTCTAAGAGCTCACAGGATAATTGTCTTTAGTTAATATGCCAGTTACTTGTTCGATTAATCGACCGATCATACGGTTTGTAAACATTTCAGGAAATACTGTGAGATGTTTATAACAATTTTCAAAAAAGGCCAAAGACATCTTCAAATGTCATGTTTTGTCTAATATGACTAACAATCTAAAACCCAAAGATAATTAGTTTAATATCACAAAGTATAATGCAAAAACATAGCTGTAACTAGGAAATGTTTGGGGGGTTTTACTTGAAAAGTTAGTTAAACAATTAAAAGATTATCAAAAAAGTTCATTAACATAGCAGTACAATGAAAATATTAATAAGCGAATCACTTCACTGTGAACATTAAAGGGCAAGGCCATTTTCTATATTAACAGTATTTTAAACATTCCCTGTACAGAGACTAGAACCAATAATTATTCATCTCTACTCATTGTCGTCTGTCAGTCCTATTTGTCTGTGCCATAGACCTTCGTTGTTGTTCAAAAATGATTAAAAACACCTCATTGAGACAGATAGTTACACTGAGTGACATGTTTCCTCATTGCAACACAAGACAACATTTTCACGGTTACCTATTTCCCTGTTTCAGTCAAAAAAAAGAAACAAATGTAAATGCTAACAAGAGCATGAGTGGCCAAAGTCCTCAAAGGGAAAAACCCTGCCCTTGGTTTATAAGTTTTGGTCTTAGTCTAAAGACAGAGCATCAATGCTTGTCTGTGTTTTTGCACTACTGAAAGAAACTATATGGCATCACTACAATAGAAATGAAATACACTGAAATGCTTGCACAATTTACATCTTTAAACGAATACCGAAACACATAATTCTCCCACAGAATTATCAACACCATTACACTTTCAAACCGTTGTATTAAAGCTTTAAAATGCCAGTTAAGAGAGCAAGCATTTTATAAAAGACATAAACTCCACCAAATGAAGCTGAGAATAGTCGGGCCTCCTAAAAGCTGCTTATTGTAATTTTGAGGCACTGATAAACAAAGAAATCTACAAATACACAGATCAGATGTAGAGAGGTAGCATTCTGAAGGTGAGGAACACCACCTTGGAAACACAAACTGAGGCATATCTCCAACGGAACAACCTTAGCATGGGTCAAACAGCATCAGAAAGCCAGTGGGCAGATCATACGGCCCACAAGGAGATAAGGATGAGACTCACCGTATTAAATCCTGGGAAGAGGCTGACTGCTGAGGCTGTATCCAATGGAAAGGGGAGAAACTGCTTCAGGCCCAGTGAGGTCTGGACGGCAGGCAGAGTGGGGCGCACCAGGGCAGGCATGAGGCCATTTTGACATGTGCTACCTGTAGGAGGGAGTGCAGGCAGCATGTTAGACTGCAGACAGCAACAGAGGCAGACGCCTGAGCCTACGTCTGCCAGTCAGTTCCAAGTGAACCTTCAGTGAGTGTTCAGCCTGCATTACCCACAGTGTGCATGTGTACTGTGTAACATCTTATTTGCGTAAGTATTTAGCGCCTGTGCCACCAAGGCAGGAATTCATTACTTTAGTTCTGTGAAAAGCTGATTTGATTTAAATTAATTCAAGGAGAAAAAAATAATCTATTTCTGGAAGTTTGTAAAGACTGTAGATTGTAACTCTTCTGACAGCGTGGAAATCCCCAAAATCTCCTCATGACTTCATTTTCTACATGGAGTTTTGGGGATTTCCAGGTTTTCACACCCAGTGTTTTATGATCTCAACTCACTGTCCACCATAAAACTCTTCGTAAAAGCTGAAAATATCTAGGAGTTGAAAGCTCCAAAAAAAGTGAGCGGACCTTGAGATCTTTATTTTGTGACACTTATGGATCCTGAGTGCATGAATGAACTTCCAAGATCAAATGATGAAGGAACTTTTATCCTTTCATTGCAATTGCTGTATCATTTGATTACAAATGACACCACCACCTTATAATTTCCACTTTGGGGGATTTTTCTGCTTTCATACTCATATCCAAGTTTTTTTGGAACTTTCATCTGAGCTGATGAAGGCCATGGGACATGGTCAAGAACAAATTTCCATAGTAAATGGCCATTCATTTTATTGCAGTTTAGATTACAAAAGCCAATATTTTCTAACAAGGTTTCAATATTTTCTCTCTCATTTGTTGAGGATTTACATGATTCACGTTTAATCAAAATTTGTCACAAAACAGTAAAAACTCAATGTCCACTTACAGGCTTTTTCATCTCATCTAATGAAGACAACCACCACGGTTAAAAGAACTGCCGTTAATTGGTTCATTCACTGCTGCAGGTTTGTGAACTCTCTGAATTAAATGTCTTCCTACAACCACAACCACAAGACCCAAACTATGTACTGAGAACAAGTTGTACATGCAGATGACCACTGAGTGAAGCTGTGGTGATGTTTATCTCTCCAAAACAGATGTTCCCATTTTGAAATTACCACCACAAAGAGCTAAGATGGAATGATTGCAGCACACACACTGTGTCCTATGAGATAACTCAATGGCAAGAGAGGCCTGGGCTACACATCCATAGGAAAAATGAGGGTAAATACTTCTTTTGTTGTCATGTTAGCGGGCAACACCAGCAGAGTGCTTTATAAACCAACAACTGGAAGCAGTACAGTGCTGATGAAATCAGCAAGATCAAAGAGAAGAAAGGAAGAGAAAACCATGACAGCCTTACAAAACATTAGGAATTAAACAAGCCATTTCACAAAAGCTGTAATGAGAACCAGAGGGATGATTTTTTTTTAAATCGCAGCAGTGAAATTCTGAGCCATCATGGCTCTAAAGCCGTGGCACATACAGCAACAAGCCACTGTCCTGAGACAAATAAAAACAAGGTTTGCCACATTTCATCCTCTAGGCAGCAGTAAGGGGTAAATAAAAAGCAAACGTCATAAAGATAAGAAGGGAAGAGGGGAAAACCACAGACTGCCCCCCAACTCTGTATTCTCCCCCTAGTCGCCGGAGCGCTGCCATCTGTTGGAAAAAGAACACATGCCGTCTTTCATGTGGAGGCACGTCCTGGTCCCAGCTTTAACAAAGCATGTCCTTCTGTAGGGATCATTCAGCCATGCCATCTCTCGACATGCTGGCTTGACGTCAGCCTGCAGGCATGCCTCACCTCACGCCCAGCCAAACCCAGCATTCACTGCTCCAAAGTGCACAGTCCCAAACAGCCTGCTCACACACAGCAGGACAGATGTGTGGGGTTAGTCTGGAGTGAGATGAAGAGTGACAAACTGAAATATGAATTTGTTTGGTGGGGTTGTGGTTGGTTTGCTGATTGATGGAAGATAAAATCAGACATGTCACCATGGCTCAAGCCTTCGAGTTTTCTACTCTGTAACTTCAGATGATTAGTTCCCCCACTGAACAAGAAACCACAAAGTTTTAGTGCTGCAACTGGTCCTATTGAAGCTAATATCAACTATATGCAACGTGATGTACAACACTGCATCTTAGTTAATAACTGATCATGTTTAGTTTAAAAAATTTAATCTGTAAAGAACATAGTAACTATCAAATATAGCGATCAACATTATGACCACTGACAGGAGAAGTGAATAGCTGATTATCTTGTTACAGTGGCACCTGTCAGGTGGGGTATATTAGACAGCAAGTGAACATTCAGTCCTCGAAGTTGATGTGTTGGAAGCAGGAAAAATGGGTAAGTGTAAGGATCTGAGTGACTTTGACAAGGGCCAAGCTGTGATGGCTGACAACTGGCTCAGAGTATCTCCCACACTGCACTGTGGGTGTTCTTGGTCTGCAGTGGTTAGTACCTACCTACAGTGGTCTAAGGAAGGACAAACAGAGAACCTGCGACAGGGTCATGGATGCTCAACTACTTTATTTACTGTTGTAATGAAGTAGAAGTATATAGTACAGTAAAAAAATCAAGTACAGTGGAAATAAAGAATAAGTAAGTAACTGTATTTAGTTTCTTTCCACCACTGGACACAGTGTCTGCTGTCAGATCCAGCTCTTCAACCTTACTTTATAACTAAGTGAAGATTCACTCATATAACAGTTTAAGTTTCACTGGAATTTAGCACAGAAAACCCAAGATAACCTACTTTGGCCCGGTGGTGCCTTACAATGTCAATGCCAACATACTGGTGTTTGGGAGGTTTGTTTACAATGTTAGTGTGTTAGCATGCTAACATTTGCTAGTACGCAATAAACTCAAAGTACAGCCGTGGCTCCAGGAAATGTCAGTTTTTCACATAGTTTATATAAAACAAAGCACTGGACAACATAAAATCCTGACTTGATGTTGGTGCTATATAGAGAGTGTGGACACATGAATATCTCCACCTAACTTCATGACAAACCAGCCACCAGTTGTTGAGACGTTACAGTCCAAAGCACACATTTCAACCTCAAGGTGGTGCTACAGAAAAAGTCAGGAGATCACCAAAGTTAAGAATTCATCCTCTGGGGACCATGATTCTCGGTACCGAGTGTCAGTCCATCAAAGAGTTGCTGACATATTCCAGCTTGGAATAAACAGGAGGACGATGGACATTGCCATATACAGAGCCATGCTCCTAGCATAGCTACAAATTTAGATTTGTAAAGCAATTAGCTACTATAGTTAAATGGAAAGTACCACAAATTTGTAGTTACAGTAAGTATAGTGTTTGTGTATGCAGTATATATATGTATACTTTCCCTTGCTGAACATTAAGCCTGCTGCTTATTGGCTTTAACCTCTTTCTAAACCCTGCACAGTTGGAGATGTAAAAAGGCTTATTGATTTTCTTCTGTCCTCTCTTATGAAATGTAAAGCAGCAATTGCAATCTAACCAGCACAAACACAACAGCACATTCCAGGTGCAGCAGGGGGGTAGTGTTTCAACTACCGTAAGCCTGTTCATCTGTTCACCACCAACTAAGGTATACATTGTTTGGCAGAGCAGGAAAACAAGCCACTGGCTGCAAAACTGAACTTTAACCTTGACCCCTGAACACCATGCTAAAGCCAAAATACTCCAGCAGCAAGACAGAAAATCCACCCACCACAGGTTTTGGCCAAAATGCACAGATGACGTCCAGGATTATCACTTTGTTAGAAGTGTCAATATTTGGCTTGAGTTTGACTAAAAAACAGCTAATATTTGACTTCTGTCGACAGATTCTACATTCTGACTGCTGGCAGCGTGCAGGTCCCAGGTGGGCTGAGTCTCTTAAGCTGACACTGTCATCTACTTTTCATTACAAGCTGCTCAAGAGAGTCACTCGGCACTGAAAGGTCAGCAGGTGACAGTCATTAAAATAACTACTAGAAGACTGTGGGAGCAGCCTGGGTGAGGCAGAATAAAACTGTGGAAAAATAATTTATTGTTTTGTCCTCAGCCTGGTCTTGTGTTTCATTTTTTTTTTTATTTCCTGAGATGAAAAAAGAAGAAGCTTTATTTATTGTTATTGTGACACGTACAATGAAATTATGTTTGAAGCCAAGGGCCCTGGGCCGCGGCGTGCATATGCGCCGCCATCACAGGCAACTTGAGGGTTCAGTGTCTTGCCCAAGGACACTTCAACATGTGGACTGCAGGCACCTAGATTCAAACCTTCAGCCTTCCGGTTGGGAGACGGCTGCTCTACCCACCTCACCACTGTCACCTCACTGAAACAAGTCAAAGCCAAGCAAACTTCCAAAAAGTCACTGGCCCCTGGTGGTGGCTGGGCAGGCTCAAACCTGTATAATGTTCATCCTACAACTGTTATTATGCCAAGTTATGTTAAGTTTTGACACTTTTTCAGGTGAGGAAATAACCGTCTAGTTTTCAAATATGCAGTCATTCTATCTAGGTAATGCCAATTACAAATTTGCTCTGACGTTTTTGGAGATGTGATGACCCGCTAATGTGCCAGATAACTAGCTCTACTTAGTAAGCAGCAGTAGCCATTGTGCTCATATTATCACATTTAGTAACCTATGGGCTACGTGATAAGATGTACGATGTAGTGGTTCACAAGATGGCAAGATGGCTACGTAGTAGTGACCAGTCGGTAGTCTGCAGTGTTTACGCCTCACCATTTAGTATCACCTCACCGCGCCTGGAACCTCAATAAAGGTGCTATCAAAAATAGTACTGGGTACTATCCCCAACATTTTAGATGAAAAAACAAATAAGGCGAATAGAGTCAAGTCAAGGCTTTACCAGGCGGTGGAAAAAAGGCTTCTGACTGTGTTTATCAACCTCTCACCAACAGGCAGCTGGTGGTGCAAATTGAAATAGTCTGAAAGTGCTTGTACGATACTGGCCAAATGTCAGACAACTAGCAACTAGAGTGGACACCAAAACAGAGCTAGGAAGTGA